GGAAGTGGTTGAGTCACCGTCCCTGGAAGTATTTAAAAGACGTGTAGATGAGGCGCTTAGGGACATGGTTTAGTGGGCATGGTGGTGTTGGGTTGACGGTTGGACTTGATGATCTTGGAGGTCTCTTCCAACCTTAATGATTCTATTCTATGATTCTATGATTTCTGACCGTCGCCAGCTGTTTTCTGCAATGCAATGAGCCTGACTAAGATGTAGGAAAATCAACACATGCTCAAAGATCAGTCCATAAGCATCTATCCTATTATTGGTCCTTACTTAATAACGTAGGAAAATAACTGATCCCATTTCTTCCTCAGAATCAAGAATCAGGGCTAAGAAAGGTAACTAATGCTACCAGTTGGTATACATCACTGAACTCTGTTCTGACTGTTCTTATCCTATTTACCTACAGAACAAGTATAGGACAATATCTGATACCAGTCACTGTCCTGAAAAGTGGAACCCAAGAGCTGCCAGACAAACGCTGATCAAGAGATGAAGAAGTATTTTATTTGCTTGCAACATACGAACTGTTGGTAGAAAGACAATTGTTTGAACCTGAAAAAAGCTTGTTTCTACAAGACCATTTTTTCACTCTGAAGGTTGTCTTCTGCTAAAACTTCCAAGACCAGCGAATACCATATATTCTGGCTTTAAGACTGCCAAAACCTCTATCCATCTCATTTCTGCTGGGGCCATCAGGAGAGGTTTTGAACCTAATTTTTAACTTAAAGCTTTGTCAAGTCCCGAGTTTGAGAAGGATTTAACTGTAATTTGCAGAAAAAGAACTGTTTGTGCGTGTGCTAAAAACTGTAAGACTTTTCCCTGGTCTAGATTTCCCTGCCATTAAACTCAATGATTTCACTTCATTTGAGCCAGTTTGGACTTCTCTGTGTTTCGGAACATTTCAATAGCTACAGAAGTGGCTAGATAATAGCTAACAAATGAAATACCAGCCCAGCGTAACTGGAACAAATAAACTGTGTAGCACAAATGATCACTGAAACTCAGCAGAAATCAGAGCGCTGTACAGAGCTCAGGAAAGGCTGGAACAGCAGCCCTGATGTGCAGAATGGCAGTTTGTCCACCTGCAGTTTTATAAGTCTCCACGTAAAATCAGTAAATCATCCCAGGTCTTTTTTTTTTTAATAGGTTTCCACTAACATTTTTCATAACTTGTCTACAAAACGAAAAGGCTTTATTATTTCTTCTATGACACAAAGCTGAGGAACATAAACTATTATTATTTATTATTATTATTATCATCAGTCTTCGTGTTGTTATTAGTATTTAGAGTAGGAGAGGGGAATGTGGAGAGACTGTGAAAGCAATATGTGTTGCCTTACTATACAAAACATAACGCAAACAAAGTATGTTGACTACGTTTTGCATGCTAATAAATTTGTTATGACTTCATCCAATTACAGCACATTTAGCAGTTTGTATACCACAATGAAATCTGCAATTATAATTTTTGTGACTTTATGTTCCAGACAAGTTGATGGGATTGCTGCTTAGCAGCTCCTAATCTGGTCTACGTTTTTATGTCCCATATGAAATTTGTTGCAAATTGCATCTTTCCATTTAGTATTTAGAAGACAGGTGCACAGAACGCGAAGCTGGTGGTGGCAGACCAAGACTTGTTAGCCACTACAAACTGCAACATATTTATCCTAGAAAAGAAGCCCTATTTTAAGCATAAATCTCGCTGATCAGTAAAATCTAGCATATCAGTAGTTTCTATGATATATAGGTTTACCATATTCAAACTGTTTGTTGAATAGGCTCTCATTTTGAGCTGAGAACTTTGGTTAGAAATAGGCATATTATGGGCAATGATCATGTAGATGTACATTTATGGCTGTCAATAAAACTGAATGGGCTCGGGCCATCCCTTAAACGTATTCTTGCTAGAAAACTGTTGACCTGTGAGCTCTGAGTGTGCTGCATAGTCTCTTGTGCTGGGGTGGATCCCTTTGCTGTCTGACCGTTAGGCAGCAAGAGAAGAAATCTAACAGGATCTCAGGTTACGGCCTCTGAAGTGAAAACATAAAATTGTCTGAATCGTCATAATTTCTGCCTCCTAGAAGTATCTGTTAGGAAACATAAGCTTCACCACCATTAGTGAGGATGTTAAGGAGTAGCTGTGGAGAAGCAACTCTGGTTTGTGAAAAGGGTTAAGGGGAAAAAGTTGAACTGAGCCATGGGAAGAATTTAAATAGAGGGACAAATCCTTTTGCAACTCCTATCCCAAATGAAAAGAAGAAAAATCATTAATCTGTCACTGTCAACAATATTATGCTTTTCTCCCTTAAGTTCCAGCCTACTGTTAGGAGTAGCTCAAATCCACATGGCGACTGCAGTATTACTGAGATGGAGCAGTGCCTACAGGACTGACTATTCATGGAGAAAGCTTATTCATAAGACTAAGTGACTAAGACTAAAACAGCTTATAGAGAGACAGATATGCTAGCAGTTATGACTCCAGTAACCCCTTTGGTTCATGTTGTTTCAAATACAAGAAAAGGACAAGGCCAGTGAAGAGGGAGGCAAACTAATAGCTTTTAAGAGTTGAGAGTGGGAGGACAAATGACATTTTGACGTGAAGAATGACAGATAAAATGATCCAGACAATTGGGATTATGGAGAACATAATTCCTGTTCCAATCCATACTTATTTTAAAAAGCAGTAGCAGTTGGGATCCAAGAAATGAAACACTAAAACCATTCTCAAATAGACGAAAATGAGAAGTGGAGCTGGGTGATGAATGATAAGCTAAAATCGGAAAGCTGGACACAAGGATGTAAAGCTAATGGCAAGGTTTTGCAGGAAAAGTAACATTCACACTCCCCTTCTGGACCACAGTTTGGACAGAAATGATAACCTGTCAGAAAGCCTCATTTCACCCCTCCCGTTCCTGCACCCACCAGCCAAATGACTGTGCTTGGCTCCAGGACTACTGAGCATTGCAGCCCCAGATCTGAAGTTCAAAACAACCCCAGAGAATAATTATTCTGAAATTTCATTGGCTTTCAGCAAACTGTAAGGCTGAGGTAATGCAAATACATTTCTAATACAACAGCTGCACTCTAAGAGGGTTTGGGAAATTTTTTAGTGGTAGGTAACTAATGTATTATTTTACATTTACTTTATCAAATTTCAAAAGAATTATTAAAATAATCTATATTAAAGTAGATAAATATATCTATTGAACAGCACTGCCTGAGTTAACTAAAGCAAGGAAGCAATTGGTATGGATGAGTTCAGAGCCATCTGAGCTACTGCATTGACTCGTAATGGACAAGACACAGTCTTGTTAAACTCAAGAACCTGAAAATAAGAAGGAAGAGCAGAAAAAAAAATCCTGGAAATTAATTTTCAAACTTTCAACAAATGAATTCTCATCACAATTCCCAAATAACTTCCTCATGAAGTCATGGGACTTCTGCAAGTGAAATGTCTTCCTGAGAGGTGTAAAAAATGTGTAAGGTGGGCGTACCTGTTGCTGCTCAGTTTTAAGAATGGTCATTCCATCTCATGGCATTTTGAAAAATGCCAGCAATATTTTTGGCCAGAAAATGTTATTGGAAAGCAAAAGAAACCAGCCCCAAACTATTCTTATCAAATCTAAAAATATCTTGGTTCCTGGAAGAGCTCAAATGCCATCCTGCATGTCCATCAAACACTGAAACAAGTCATAAATGTCTCTGCCTTATACTTAAATTTAAATAAATAATTTTTGCATGGGGGTATTAGGCTATGTGACTTCAAAAAGGAACCACGCATCTGCATTTGAAGGAAAATCTGATTTGACTTAAGGCTATGTAGACATATCCCCTGCCCCAGATTTGAGCTTTGTACTAAGATGGCTCTCGGTTGTGATATGCATTAATACACTAGTCTGAAATTTCATTCATTTCTACCTGAACTAAATATGTTACTGCACAACAAATTGATCTTAATTCTTTTACTATTAAGTATTATAGCAAGTACCAAAGACCACCAAATTACCTAAAACAACTGACAGTAAGCTCGCTACTGAATATCACAGGATTCAAGTGAATAAGAAAAACTGAGATATATATGATACCACAAGCTGTTCACTCAGAAAAGGTAAAAGCTAACTCAAACCAACAAAGAAAGGAGGAGTAATTCATTGGAAATCTGGAATTTTTAAAAGGTTATAGAGTAATATAATTCTTCAAATTGCTATTATGAAGTTTTGCATTCCTTTCACATTTGTGATAAACATTTGGATTTTTAGAGAAGGTATGTAGTATTAATTGAATATAAAGGTAAGTGGGAAATTATATCAGAGAGAAAAATTAGTACCAAATCTCCGTTATTCAGGGGGAGTAGGAAAGACGTGGCCAAAACACTACACATTTTTTGTTCCACGGAAAATACTAGAATGTCAAAATTTTTCATTTCTAATCAGAACTGAAACATACACTCTGAATTGTCCTGGCTTGGAAAAAAGCCGTAAAACAATTTGAAATTTGAGACTGTTGTATTCTATGTCTTCAGATGGTATTTTACCATCTATACTGTATTTCATACCATACACAGTAATTCAAAATGAACTCTGCTTCTACTACTGACATAATATGACACTTGAAATACGGTACTTTTATCTTATTTGGGGGAAATGCTTAAGGCACAAGCAATTGCAACATCTTTCTCCTAAATGAAGTTGTCCCTTTATCACGACAACACAGTTGCAGGGGCCCCAGAATGCCCTACCCAGTCCAGCCTCAGGTCCTTGGTCAAGCTATAACCTTCCTCAGATCACAACTATCAACGTGCTCCCATCCGTTGTCTTTGAAAAACGTATAGCAAACTCCCTCTCCGCTGACACTGCCATGTGTAAAAAGGTCCCAGTTCAACTTCTCTCTGCTATGTAAGAAAGGTCTGTCCCGCTAGATGGGACTCTGGGGGACTGGAGCATGCAAATATGAAATAAAAGAAAGTAATAAAAAAGTTGACTAACCTAACCCACCTGAGCTCGGCTCACAGGGATCGATGTCCTCATCATCGCTAGGACATTCAGCTGAGGCCACCAGGATGTCATCTGTGGTCTGCAAAGAAAAGTCAAATAGATATATTTTAATTGACTGAACATGTTGTAAGATTCTCACTGGCATTTCTTTTATTGCTGGGATTTATGCAAGGCCCAGAGCATTCAAGACTTCATAAGTAATGGCACAGTGACACTCTCCAACTCTGTATTAATGGGATTTTGCTTTCCAGTTCACACCTGTCAGTTTTTAGAACTGTGTTAGATATCCAGTGCAGGCATTTAAACATTTTAATATTTTTTTGTAATAAGAACAGAAAGTAGAAAGACAGAATATATATATTGGGGCTGCTGGTCTTCCATCTTTATCTCCAATATCTCTACTATGATATTGCTGAAAACACTGACAGCATTAAAAAAACAAGTCAAAATATTGAACTGCCTGCAGCTGTTAAAACTATCAGAAATGTAGTGATGTTTTCTCCATTAATTGCACTTGCTTTCTCAGATGTAGAGCCAAAAAAAAGGAAAAGAAGCAAACATAAGTCTCACTGACTTGAAAACTATTAAATGAAAAGAAAGTAAAGGAACAAAAACAGTAATAAATATATGCAGTGTTAGAAAGTACCATCCTATTTTCTTAAATAAGGGAAAACATCCTGTTTTCTTAAATATGTATTGCCCGAGTACTGTGCTTAGATCCGAGGGGCTCTAGGAACATCTGTCCAAAATGAGCTTGGACAGTTCTTTGTATAAAGAAATCAAATAAATCAAGACAAAGGAGACAAACCAAGGGATGTATGATACAACACGCTATGAAGAAAAGAAACGGGGGATTCCTATCTACCGCTTCTTACAGTGCAAGAACAAGGAGGTATTCAATGAAACACTGAGGCAATCAATCTGAACCTGATAAAATGAAATACCTTCTGTTCAAGCCACCTCTGAGAACAGTCATTTAGAAATGTAATAAGAACATCCACAGTTATTAGGGGAAATAATAGCAGGGAAATATAAACTGTCATGCTCCTGGTCATTTCTCAGGCAATTACTAATGAGGTTAGGAAGAAGCTTTTCCTATGGGCAAGACATTTCGTAACTGTCCGTTTCAGGCTTCTGTTCACCTCACCGAAGGATATACACAGAGAGAATAAGACTACATGATACTGAAACAAGCAGCTAGGGATGATATAGCAGGCAAAAAGCCGTTCTTGGATCCCTGTATGATACATATGCCAACGAAGCGATACAACCCATTTTGGTCAATGTGAAATATTATTTTTAGGGTTTTTTTTTTGCATGAGTATAGGAGAGGGACATTACAATGCATCAAAGTTTTACATCAGTTTAAGTCTGAGTATGTAATAATTTTATTTCTGTACAGTATGGCCAAAGTGTAACCAATGTTGTTTATCATTATTATTCTAACAAGTTTTAAAGCAAAGCGTATTACAGTAATAGGCTTTTCTTTGTCACGCTTCAAGAATATTAATGAACATACGCTTTCAGCACTTCTGTGAAGTAGGAAAGTGATACAGGAATACATTCATTAATATGTGAGGCATAACAAAGAAAAGCCTACTATAATAATATTATATTTTACAGGTAGAAGACTGAGGCATAAAAGAATGAAGCAACTTGCTGAAGGTAACCAAAAAGGCTATAGACAACAGCTGTGTTATGTCACAGTTCAATGCCATAATCACAAAAATTATCTTTCCTTATAGCTGCAAAAATTTATAGCTGGGGGAAAGCATTCTGTAAATCTGTAAGGCTGCCAAAATGAGTTGGCAGATTTGCAATGAGAGTTAAAAAGACCAAAAAAAAGTACTCTAGTTGTCCATTCTTTCTGCCATGTAGAAAACAGAGTTATAACAAAAACCAGCTGCAAACATCCTCTTGAATTTCTAATGCCCATTTCTTTTCCCCAAAATACAAACACTTAAGCTTGAAAATCAATATCTTAGTCCCTTTCTGGAAAAGCACCTATGTTTTTCCTAAGGTATAAAGAAAAAATAAACAACCAGGTAACCAATAAAGCCTGCATATAAAAAGTTAACTCTGTACTGCAAAAGCCACAACTAAAAGTATAAAAAAGTACTAATAAATATAAAAAAAAATCATGCATCTCCCAAACAGTTTCAATTTGGTCAGTGAAACCACAGCGTCATGTTTTTCCTTCTGCCCATAACGCTGGAGAAGACACTATACATTTATGACCTGCAGCCAGAATACTGAACATTTACCAATTGATCACTGGAGAATTGTACACAAATACCATTAAACAGAGCGCCTCACATGCATACGTAACAGCCATCGCAAGAAATGATGTTCTGTGAGATCTACTGGTCTCACTGGAATTTTGTTTAAGGGCGCTTTGGTACATGCATGGATGAGTAACCCTTGTAACTTGAGTGAACTGAGGTAAAATGATCAGATTGGTTTATAGAATTATTGCAGTGTCTCTGATTATTCTTGATATAGGATAGTATGGTCAGAGTTTACTTTAAGTAGCTACTTTTTGTACAGTTTGCACTGCATTCAAAATTACCAGAAAATAACTATAGAAAAATCATACACTTTAAGTATCTTAATGTATGAGAGATACTTTGCTCAGTTACTTACAAGAGGGAGTGTCAAAACTGTCTTTATAAAGTGACACTAATTCCAGTCTATGGAAAGAGTATTCACACCTCCACAAGAACAAAGGGATGTTCCTGACTGATAAAAGTGCATGTATATTATGGGTACAGAAATGAATAGTACCTTAAATAAATGTGAATACAGCACGTGAAGAAAGACCTCATTAATGTCTCAGAGTATTAAAGGAAATGATGTATGTTTCAAAGTCAATACTAGATATAAAACTAATTTTGTTGCAAGCAATAAATCAAGTATCAGTATTTGAATAAGAAGGGAAGTGGTGAGATGATGTGAAAAATGTTTTCTTCAGAAAAACATGTCAAGAAGAATTCCAGTTTAAGTATCAATTAACAGATGTGTCACAACCTCCCCCCTATTCTCCCCTTTTCCCAAACCCAAATACCTCTTTCCCGCTACTCATACATATTTTCATCAGAAAAAAGGCAAAGGAGCTGTGAAAGGCAAGTGAGATGGCAGTGACCAAGCTACAAATGAAAGCCACTGGACTGCTTACCGTAATTTAAAATGGGATTAAGAATTAGCTAAAACACTAGAGAATATAAAGAATACATAAATTAAAGAAATACTATGGGCCAGCTACCAGAGTTCTTTCTCCAGAAGAGCTCTGACTGACAGGAATTGACCTGAACAGAGAGCAGGATTTAGACCTAAGGGTCTCAAACAGCCATGGGGTACAGATAAATAATGCAAGATAGAGTAATATGTTTTACTTACTGCACATTATCTTTTCCTCATGCTTTTTAATTTGGATGGGAAGATTTAAAACAAATCAGTTCTCCTAAGTGAATTGCAATTGTTGCTAGTACTATGGCTAATTTACAGGACACTGCTTCGAGCATTCTCATTAATCAAGGATTTAAAAGTCAGTGGAAAATCCCTTATTTACAGTGAGTGCCTAATAGGATAACATCCAACTGGTATCATCATAATACACGATCGGATTAGAATGTCTCTTGGGTGAGTTGTTCAAATTCACTTAAGAAGCGATACTGTAGTTCTAAGAGATTAAAAAAAAAATTAAAATAGCAGGTGTACAACCTGGAAGGCCAGGCAGAATTTCTTTTGATTGCACCTTCTTTTCTTTGTGTATTTTCAGAGCTTTTCAGATTCATTCTGCAGATGCGGTTGTACGATTTAAAATGCAGTCCATTGTAATATGTGGCTTCTTAAAAAGTTAGACATCTGTTCACTTTTCAGAAAAAGGATGGTAGAAAAGCTTACAATTAACGTGTCAATATAAAAAATGGACGAAAAAAAAAATCACATTTTGTAAAGCTAGAAGTCACTGCATAATGTCGTTTCTGACAATTATTCATGGGTGTGGCCCCTGCAGGAATAGGTCTGGCTTACATCAGTCGGGTCTGCTTGAAAAAATAAGGACTTTGGGATTTGTTTCTTAGCCAAGAGAGAGTTTAAAATATCACCAATCCGCCACCTTGCCTGAGGAAGGAAATGGTGACTATTTCAAGAAAGCTCCTGGCCAGACCAAAAAATGATGCTCTAGTCATGGCTTAAATACAGTGACAGTCCGTAGCTATGGATAAATACCAAGCTGCCTCAAAGGGTTCAAAACTGCTACCAGCAACTACGGTTGTGCCCTTCTAATAGTGCTTTTTGAATGCTATGTCATTAAAAAAAAAATAACTGCAAATGAATAAACAATACAGGAAAGTAATTTTTTATTATTATTCAGTTTTTGCATGACTGGGCATAAATACATACCATCTTATTCAGTTTTTATGTATGAAGCCTGTTATACCTGAGGGTACCAGAGAAATATGATCTAAAAATTAAATCACCAATCTGAATTGTGCATTCATTAGCAGTATAATGGATCCTGCATATTTTCTCCTGTAGCATTCCACCAGCTCTCCTTTAAATCATAGCACCCTACAGCTACTCTGAATGTAGTTTATTCCTTTCTTGTTCAATAATATACTTTATCCCATGAGAACTGCAAGCAAATCCAAATTACACAAGTCAAAAACTAGCAGTCCTAAATTATTATACGAATTATAAACACCATAACCGCTTGTGACTACTGTTTAAATTATTTTAGATGAGAACTTTAACTGTGTAATCAAAACTATTCTTATTTATTTGTATAGCTTTGGTGCTTAATGATACCAGCCAGGCACTGTTGTGCTTGGTGCTAAAGGCAGCTGGAAGGAAAAGGCTCTGCTCTGAGGAGCTTACAGTTTGATTTCGGACCAGATGCAACAAATGAGTGTGAGAGAGGGGAGCAGAGGATGAGAAGGGTCAGGTGAGGATGCTACTGATAAGTGCTAGCGGTTATGCAGGCTCTGATCTAGCAAATTTTCTAAAATGATGCTCCAAGACGGCAGGAAGGAAGGTCAGGAAGAAAGGAGGCAGAGGAAAGCCAGGCAGGAGCCCACG